TCTTTTCTCCTTTAATTGTTTTTGTGGATAATATATTTTTTCTATATCTTCAAATAATTTAGGGATGTTATGTAATGTATAATATTTTATCTCCTAATTTCATTAGATTTTTATTAGTAAGTTTAATTCATATTTTATTATATATAAAATATTTTATTATATATATAAAATATTTGTAATTAAAAATAAAAATATTAATAAATTATTGATATTTAAGATAATTACTTAAACTCTAAATTAATTATAAAAATATTTGTAAAATGATAAATGAAATATAATTATAATGAAATTAAAATGAAAGTGTTTATTATTTTTTAAAAAATAAATTTTAAGGATTAATTGAGACAAAATTAAATTTTATCATATTAATTTTAAAACAAGATAAGTTTTTAAGATTTATTAGGATAAAATTAACGTTTAGGTGCCTATTTATAAAAAAAATAACATTTAGGATAAATGAATACTTTTTTCCTAATTTTATTATTTTTAGTTGTAATTTTTCTTGGCTAATATTTTTTAATATTTGCTTTATATTATTGATTTTATCGAATTCTTTTTCTATTTTATTATAGGTAAAATATGCAATTTTATTTATAATTTCTAGTCTTGTTATATTTTTTTATCAATTTTTTCATAGTTAGATCAAGTCTTTCATTCGTATTTTCAATTTTTTCTGTAAATGCCATTAGTATATTTTTTTTTTACCTGTACTTTAAGTTTCTGATTAATTTTTCTTTATTTTTATTATTAATTTACACAAGAGAATGTATAAAAACTCTTCCATCTTTGAAATAACAACTTTCTAATTAATATATGTCTAGTAATTTTCATGCACTTTTAATTTTCACTCTTTTTTAAAATATAAAGATAAAGATATTAATATATAAAAAAATAAACATATTCTATATCTATACTAATATATAAAAGGGATACCCTTTTCGGTAACTACCTTGATCTCCACTTTTTCTGACCATTATACCCTTTTATTTTAGAAAATTAGAAAAAATATTTTTAATCAAATTTAAAAACTTCAAACTAATAAATCTATACTAATATATAAAGGGTATATCATTGTCAATAATTATTTTTGGTTTTTATTTTTATATGGATCATTTTATCCTTTATTTATTTTTTAATAATTATTTTTTTTATGAGTAACTTTTCATTTTTTTTCATTTTTTCATTTTTTATTTTAATACAATGCAGACACATAGTGCCTTTTTTCTACTAGATGAATACTACAATCGTATAAATAATTTTACAAGAAAACATATCCGATAGAAAAGAACGGAGGAACAAATATGCACAAACTATTTTTGTTCCTTTCGATTCGTATAAACATATCCCTTTGCATGAATTATCCAATACGAAGTGTCTCGACCCCACTAGATAAATAATACAATCGTATAAATAATTTTACATTACTTATTACTATTATACCTTGAATGTAAATAATAAAAAAATCCTATATCTTCTAAAATTTCTAATATTTGTCTATGTATAATTATTAGAGGCACAGCCCCTCTAGTCTTTATAAATTTTTTAATACAAATATTTTAGTAATTTAATTCCTTTAAATTTTTTCATAAATCTAATTTGTTATTAATTAGTTAAACCTTTGAATATAATTCATTTCACCTTAATTGTTTAACTTATTCATTCATTTGTTGGAAAAGTTATATTATTCTCTATTTGAATCCAAATTTACTTAATAATTATTGTAAGTGACACAAATAAACTTGACAATTAACACAAAAAGAATTACATTATTTAGTAGGAGACAATTTTCTACTACATCCAAAAAAATAAGAAACTTATTAAAAAAAATTATTACAGAATAATACTAACTAAAATGTTGCAATTAAATAGTAGAGAAATCAATTTGATAATACTATTTTTGTCTTTTTTCCCTTAAACTTTTTAATTTCAATAGTGTAAATTAGTTTTTCACTTTTATTATTTGTTTATTATTATTTTAATTCATTTTGGTGGATAAAGGAAAAAATTGGATTAAAATATTATAATAATTAGTAATAATTATTATAGCTTTACAATAGTATAAAATAAATTGTTACTAAATATAAATTAAAAACAAATGTATAAAAAAATTATTAAAATAAAAGAAAAAAATCAATATATATAAAAAAAATAATGAAAATAATTAGATTAAAATATTTTCATAATTATTAATGAAAATTAATTATCAATTTCATCTTAAATTTATTAGTTTTAATAATATTTTGTATATTTTAAGGGGATAGTATTTGTTAACTTTTTTTAATTATTTTCTTTCTTTTATGTTGTTTTTGGTAGATAATATACTTTTTTCTATATCTTCAAATAATTTAGGAATGTTAAGTAATGGATAATATTTTATTTGCTAATTTCATTAAATTTTTATTATATCAGTTTTAATTCATATTTTTAAGATATATAAAATATTTGTAATAAAAACAAATATTAATAAATTATTGACATTTAAAATAAATAATTAAACTCTAAATTGATAAAAATAAATAAATAAATAAAAACTATTAATAAGATGAATTTATTGATAGAACTGCTAGATTTTAAGCATAAGAAATGCTCAAGATTAGCATGGTAGAAACATTGCAAGATTAGCATAGAGGTAATACATCTTCAGCATTCTAAAAAGCAGAAGAAAAAAAAAACTAAGAAAATTAAAACAAATCAGATGGGTACTGCAATTGAGTATGATTTATAAATAATTTTAACAAAAAATTATGTATATGCTCCATTCCCCTTAATGATACTAAGTTCAAGTTAAATTTATAGATGGCAAGAAAATCATTATGAAATTTGGCACGTACCTAGGACAACTAAAATAGTGTAATCTTGTGAGATATCATGTGGGATCTCAAGCCTGTTTCACTTCAAGCCAACAACTTCCACAACCAATAGGAAAATATGCATTTGTGAAACGAACAATAAAGTAAGAACATTGTCAAAAATAATTAACAATTATTTATAGTACAATAGTAAACTGAAACATTGTTTAGCGAAAGTGAACCTACTTATAAACAACTAAACATAACTATTAACAAAGATTGTCTTTAAAGAAGAGGACATTTTTGCTAGTTTATAATTATCATGTGTGCAACATCTCATGAAGATAACAAGCTAACCCTACATAGCCCTCTACTCTTTAGCTTTGGCTTTGGAGCAATTAGTGGAATAGATAATCATGCATAATATTTTCTGTTAAAGATTGGAAAGTATTCCTCATGCTTTCTGCTAAACTATTTTCTAAAAGGCAGACTATAAGAATAACATGCAATTGGCAAGCCTAGGACAAATTGTTGAGCTTAAGTTTTCCAAGAAAGTATAAGATTACAAAGTGTGTTTTAATCTTTACTAAGGACTATTGGATTGAGTTGATTAACAGACACTCAACCAAATTTTTTGTCTTTGAATGGAATTCTAGGAGTTATTTAAAAAATTAATATCCATCTAAACCCTAAATGAAAAAAAGGATGAAACTAAAAAATCATTTGGCATTTAAGAGAAAAATAATGCAACCATTATCTACTTGTTCTGTACAAAAAACCTTAAAAGAAAAAAATATTAATCAAAATTCAAAAGTAATATCTAATAAAAGAATCGAACAAAACATAAAAATCTAGGTAGCTTATTATTAAGAAACCAGGGGAATCCGCAAACATGAAAAAGCTTTAAAAATGCTACTTACAGAAGAAATGTAATAGAAATATTACTTTTTACAAGATTAAACACCTAAAGAAAATGGCAGGTCCAGATTCTTTTGACAAATATTTATGGATCTATTTGTAGCAAAAATAAATAGACAATTAATAAAGTCCAGTGCTCTTGAAAGCTTCGGCTATTAAGTGAATACACTGTAATAGTTTTATAACTTTGAGATGAAATGTCACAGGCCCCTCATGCAAGCTTTATTTGGGCAGCACCCTTTACTTGATGAAATTTAATTTAATTATGAATAATTGGGCTTGTTAATCGATTTACATCTCTAAAGCAACAGAAATTACAGATAATGTTAACATCGATAATCAGTATGAACTGACCTGTCCATATACTTGGCCTTCTCAGCTTCCTCTCATGCTACTGCACGTGCTTCAATGACATTCTTAGGTGGTTCTGATTTTGTTTTCAAGGAAGTGGATGCATCCTTATCCTCCTCTTGTTTGCTAGCCCATGCAGCAATGTTCATTTTACCTAGTATCTAATAAAAGAATCAAACCCTATGAATCTATATATCAAGAATTATGTGGAAAAAAAAAGGAAAACTTGAGAGAGGAATATGACCAGGAAATCTCGTGACAAGAAAAACTCAAACTACTATACTTTCAATGACATTAAGATATTCAAAGTTTAAAATTAGAGAGTCAGACAATTTACCTTCAAAGTCAAAACCTGAATCGGGATCATAAACTATATCAAAATATGAAGATTCAATAGAAACCCACCATTAGTTTCATCTTCAACAACAACATCATCCCTAGGCTACTCCTCCTTCCCTGCTTTCCAATTCACACAATAAAATGTAAATGTCTTTTTGGTAAGGAAAAAAAAAATCGAAAGTAGCCCAATTCTCTATTGCTTCAACAACACAACGCCTCAATCTTCTTGTTTTCAAAACTTCAATCGATCAAAAAACTCGAAATCGCATTTCGCATAAACACAAAGAAAAATAGCACATTCGAAACAGATTCAAGTAACAAACAAGAAAAATGAAATTAAAAAAAAAAATGGTTCATGAAAAGGCATGCGTCCAAACTAGAGAGTAAAGAAAATAAAGAAGCACCGAAATTGTGAAAAAGAAAGTAAAAGAGAAAATCAGAGAGATTACAACTACCAAAAAGTATGGGATTGGAAAGGCCTCAACGAGAAGATGCTCCATCGACGCATGTTAACTTTGGTTAGGGTTTCGGGTCAAAACACAGTTTTGAAGAGTCAAGAGAGACGAAGGTGAATACCGTGTTTTTGCTCACTCTCTTTGTTTGTTTCTCGCTTGAATAGGGAATGAATTGTGGCAATTTCTTCCCTCTATTTTTTTTTTTGAATATCTTTGGTTGTCTCATGTTTACAACGGAGTTTAAATGTGTTATAGTGTTTAGACTATGTAATCCAAGCTATCAAATCATATTACTTTTCCTTAAGGAACTGAAAAGAATTTTTTATTGGAAAATAATTTTTTTTAAAAATTACAAAAGTAGACCCCCCCTCCCCTTTATTTATCAAACTAAAACTATTTACTGTGCAAGTTTATAATTCGGTCTCCAGAGAATCAAATTTTGACCATAGTAACACCAACGATGTTTTGATGATTACCGAAATTCCCGAATTCTGGGCAACCTTTTTTTTTTTTTTTTTTACATTTATAATAAATTGATTTTTTTTAAATAAGAACTTAAAATTTTTAAAAAAAATATAAGAAAAATTTGATTTTGATTATTATAAAATATTCTAAAGTCACTATTTTTCTTACATACATTTTAAGATAGATAAATAACATTAGTTTTAAGGATTTGTAAATGTTATTTTTAGAGATCTCAAGCATAAATATAGTATCATTAACAATTATGGGTAACACATGAGATAATCACATAACTTTTTAATACACAAACAAGTAATTAAAAATGATTGCATAATAATAAAAAATAAAAATAATAGTGTGATATTTTAGATCGATTAAAAGTAATAATAAAATAGTTAGATCCAACTCTCTATCAGTTTATTAGTTGGATTACTTATAGTTTCCTTGTTTATAGACTAAGCTAATTTAGGATTCTTTTTCATTCCACAACATAAGGGTCTGTGAGCTCCTTTCTCTCATAAATTTCTCTATTTGATTCTTCTTCTTCTCTAGATCACTAATCCCTTCTGTCTTTTCTTGGAATTCAGGCTAAGAAGCTTGTTTTGGAAGATTGAAGTTCATGGGTTGAGCTTTAGAAATAAATTCTTCTTCTTCTCAGTTCTTGGCTGTTCTGAGCCAACTTTCAGGTGAGGGGAGCTAGAGTGCATGTTGAATCTGAGTTTGTTTTCAAGTTGTATTGAGCCTATGTGTTAGATTTCATGGATTGCATGTGGCTGGATTTGTTGATTTTCAGGTTTTGATGGAAATTTTTGAAGTTTTGGAGGTTGCTGTATGAATTTGCGCCGGGCACATGTTCTTAGCACCAGACGTACATTCATCAAGGGCAACCATTTCTTGATCATGCCGCGTGCGATTGTAATTGGGAGCCTTTGGATGAGTTCACGTCGGGCGTGAGGAGAACCACGCCGGGAACGATATCAGATAGTGGCCTTGTTTAGTAAGTTACTAATATGGCGTCGAGCGTAGGGTAGGTGCGCCGGGTGTGGAGACCTCTAGAGGTCTCTATCTAGACGACACCGGGCGCAGGGCTAACGCGCCGAGCGTGGAGACTCCTATGAGTCTCTATCTCAATGACGCTGGGCATGGGGATTCTACGCCGGGCATGGATGAGTTTTAGAACTCTCTGGTTGATTTTAGGCCGGGCGCGCGTTGGCTGTGTCGGGCGTGGATGAGCTTTAGAGCTCTCGGGTTGGATGTAGGTCGAGCGTGAGCTGGCTGCACCGGGCGTGAGTATGTTTAGTAATGTTGATTCAAAATGATGCTTATGCATGTTTAAATTTGAAGATTTGATCATGTATGTATGATATATGATGTATGGTGGTGTATGATTCATATGTATGCTTGGTAATGATATGTATGAATGTTTAAATATGATATGACATGTGTGTATGTTTATATGAGATGATATTGATCATGATGGTGGATTGACCATGTATGGTGTATGATGCATTATTGCATGTGATGCCTTATGACATGTGTCTAGCCTAGGACTTGAGGAGAGGGAAATATTTTTGAACTAGAAGAACTCACATAGAGTTTCTTGAGAGTGGTGTTTGGATAGGCCACTGATATAAATGAGAGTGATACTTAGATAGGCCACTAGTTTTGGGTGAGAGTGGTGCTTAGATAAGCCACTGGTTTGGGTGAGTATCTTCTAAGTCCTTAGCTAGTGTTGGAGCGGAGTATGAGGTCAAGGGTTATTCCCTTAACCAAGTACTGGGGAAGGTGCGTGGTTCCTTGCGGATAGTCGGTGGGCAAACTCCACAAGTGACTTGGTAATGCATGCCAAGGTTGTGGTAAGCCTGTACCCAGCTGTGTTATACCTAACGGTGGAACCAGACTTCCAAGTGTGTAAGTGACATAATTTGAGTAAACCCGAGTGAGGATTTATATCCTGATTAGTTGTGACCGAGCGGGCGCATTGGGCGTGAAAACGATTGGGGTGGTTTCAGTAGGATTGGGATGTCACTTATATTACTCTACTGTTAGGGAGATCTCTTAGGTGTATGTGTGACAACGCATTAGATGATTGATATGTATTGATATCTGTCATCAGTTGCTATTATTGCATGATTTCTTATATGATGAAGTGTGTGGTGTTGACTTCATGTTTGATGAATTGATGGTTGATTGAGATGGGGGCCCCTTTGGGACTTTGTTTGATGAATGTGTAGTATAGATTTTTTTTTTCTATACTTGTATGATTGATTTTTGAACTCTAGCTTACCCTTCTATTTCCATGTGAATGGACTGCGATGATCATACTATGTATGTGAGCAGATCAGGGTTAGGTTGGAGTAGGTTGTTGTGACCGTTGCGAGACGTGAAGTTTTATTCTCGTGTCAGAATTACCATTTGGGTAATTGTTTTGTCTGTGCTTGACCACCTACACTAGGGTGATATTATTTTTGGGATGACTGTACATATATAATGTTATATTTTGTACATAGAAACATAGTTATTATTATTTTTATATATAACTGTATGTATGAGTTATCCAGTTTTTGTATTTTTCTTAGTCTACTAGTTTTTAGTGCGATTCCATTGAGTGTAAGGACCACGGCGGGTCGTTACAATTTTCATTTTCTAATTTTGAAATTTAGAAAATGAATTTAATTTAACTATTTACAATAAAATTTCATAAAATATTTTTAATATAAACTTTACAATTAAAATTTGAACAATAAATCTATCTCTATATATTAAATAAAAAATTATCTGGCATATAATATTTTTAAGAATTTATATTCAGTGAAAGTGATTTTAGGTTTTATCCTTCAATTTGAAAATTTTTAAAAATTCTGTTATGTTCTTATTCAATTCTATTTTTATTTATTATTTTTATTTATAAATTAAATTTTAATATTTTTAAAATAAATTATCAATAAATA